TTCAATGAACTATAGACATTTTAACTCACACTTGTATAAACGCTAAAAATTCGAAATTCTGATACTTGTTCCGCTAAACATTTCTTTCATCATGACTGGAAAACTAATTGATAGTTATGTTAATACATTTTCAAAATTTCGAGCCTTTATCTACTCTCTCTCAATAGTTGAAACTTTTTTATAACATTCGTACAAGTAGAAAAAACAAAAGATTTATAGCGTTTAAACATATGACTCTTTATCACTGTTTACTTTTACAAAATTCACATTGATGAGCGAAAAGCATAGGTTGACTTCGATAGGTGTTGTTAAGCAAACAGTTGGTGTCTCAGATACTTCTTAACTTTGGTCATATGATTCATTCTTGCATTATTGTGCAGTGTAGCAATCAACCGATTATTAAAGGATACATTGACAGTAAAGAAGTATTTTTTTTCATATTGCATTGTTGTATATCGAGTTTATGATCATAGCAATACAATATACCAGGTGTGTAATTCATTCCATCTCATTATATCGAATCTTTCTCCTGTTTAATTGTCTTTATGCTCATGATCACAGAATTGTTTTATCTATGTAGAATAATCTAATTGTTTTATTAAATTCCTTTCATATTCATGGTTCCGATAATTGACTGGTAAAAGAGAGAAGAAATAGAAAAGATTGTAAAGACAACATTCTCGGGCCTGGCTTACATAAATATTTCTCGTTCCTTTAACTAGAGTTCAACTCTTTCTCAACTAGCATCAAAAGTCTATAGCAAATATGGAACATGACATTTTTGTTTGCCTTTCCTGTGATTAACATAATGCTTTGCAATTTTTCATATATTGCTACAACCTTCTCGGTGTATTATCCATCAGCATGATTGCTATTTATATTTCGTCCATTTCACTCTGAATCTATTTAATTTGTTTTTCTTTGAACAACTTCTGCGTTGTATTTTCTTACTTTTAATCTTATGAAATGGGGTATGGTTGTGGATCTTGATTTTATCGATAAGCACACGAATATCCACAAAACCACACCGACTTCAATTGTCCATCGAATTTAAAGCAATATAACATCTCTGTTTCAGATTCATTACATATATCGTACAGTGTAACTTGGTGACAAATATCATTACACGCTAATTCAATTCAATTTACAAGTTACGTATCAAGTACCATTTTTAATACAAATAAAAGTATGTGTAACATATCTTCACTTGCAAAATGTAGTGAGCTGTTATTTAAGATTTCTTTGCGTAATAACAGTTCGATATGAAACTATTGCATACTCACTCAAAAATGTCACTGATGTATTAGCGAAGGTTGTGCTCTGTTTTCATAGGGTGTGAATGTGGCTTTGCTCTTGATTCACACTCACATCCTATCCGAATTATTGCAGTTAATTGATACATTTTTTCCAGTCAAACGCCACTACTGTTTCAGTTCCAATGTGGTTTACCTTTACTGTTCTCAACTTAATTACTACTTTTTTGTTCTATAAAAACATAACTACTCCATACTAGCACTAATATATTACATTTCAGTGATATCTGTAACTCAATTCCGTTTCTATTCTATCTGAACTTGTTTTTTTTTCGTGACAGCAAGTAAAAGACTGCATGCCAAACATAGAAATTACTTCCAACATTTGTCATCTTTCCCTAATACTGATTTGCAGTAGCTCATTTAGAATCTTAAATTATTTCTAGACAGTTGTTTATTTACAAATGGACATAGAGATAAACAACAAAACTTCTAATTCCTTACTATTTCATAATTTTAACACGAAATAATTGTTTAAAGGTAGCTAATGTCTGTCATTTGTGACACGCCCAGTTTGTATCTTGATGGTCACATTATATAAGATTATGGATGTTTTGTGATAGTCTAAAAAATTGGACCCTATTCGTTGTGGGACAAGGTTTATGTTGAAGAGTATCCATTTTTTTTTTCAGTAATTTTTTTTATTTCTTCTCGTAGAAATTTTAATTGGTTAAAACTGCGATAGTTTTTAAGTTTAGTTAGTCCGTATCTTCATAAAAGAAGTTGTTTCGAATGGTTCCCTAGCCAATGAGACTGATTTATTGGATGTACCGATTAGAGATGAAGGAAAGGAGAGGTTTTATTAACAAAATTGTAATAACCGTTCTGATTGTACTCATTTGTGAACTAAGTTATTTATGAAGGAAGAATGAATAAAGCAAGTGAAATAAAGTTTAATTTTCTACTACTATTAATACTTTTTCTGTTGTTTAATAGTTACAAAATACAAAATATGAGTACGCCAGCATACTCACCAGCCAGCTCCGTCGCATCAGAAGTTAATTTGGTAAGTGAAACAAATACATCATAACACATACGGCTTTTTTTATTGTTCTAGTGGATGGCATCTCGATATAAAAGCCAGTCTCGACAAAACACGTGAGTTAATGAACAAGCGTTCATATGACTTTTTTATCGCTCGATGTCACAGATTCTCTTTACAGTGCGCACATATATTCAGAAGTTTTTTCAAGATCACTACTAACCAACACAAATGCATCGACCATTACCCTCCCTAACTAGAAATGCCTACGGTGAATAATTTATGAACAAAGCAAATAACATCTTTTATGTTTTTTCCATATATAAAATATAACTATTTTTACAACTTGGGATTTTGTTTTGCAATAAAAGATTTGGCAAAAGAAATTTTTATGAACTCTTTTTCACAAAGAAACCGAAACTTCATTATTTTGAATATTGTTTTTAATGTATAATACAGAATATTGGTTTTTAAACATAATTCAACTTTCTTGTTTTAAAAGAAATATTATAATACTAAAGTCTTAAAAAGTTTGGTTAGCGAACATAAATATCCGGACAAGTTTTTGTTATGTGGGAAATTTTTAAATTATTCTATTAGTCTCACAGAAGGAACATTCTCTTCAATATTTTTATGATGAAGTACTTCTTTTTAAGTTCATGTTTATGAAAGTACCAAGACATGCTAGTTAACGAAACTATGGCATATTATTTTATTTTGAACATTTAGCTCTAGTCGTCAGCAAACAGTTGCAAAAGAATCATCAGATACTAATTTTGGTCAAATACAGTTTGCTAGCAATGATCGCAAATCATGGGTAAGTTCTTTTTTTCTGATCCAACATTTATTATCAGATTTTTCGATGACTACTGAATGAATACATTTCTTCTTTAATAAAAAGTATTCGTTGAATCACAGAAAATCCATTTTCTACACTAAGTTTTAACGCTAATAGTTTCAGCTATTTCTTATTCACCATCAGCAAATTTTACTTTACGATTTTCTATCAAACGTTTATTTAAAAACATATCCAATGGGAAAGTCTCTGTACAATAAGAAAACTGGCTATTTGTGTGGAACTCACATATTTTATGATGAAAAATAGAGAATGTAAGTTTTAGAGTGAAGTTTTCCGCCTACTTCTACCCCCTCCATATATGTGTTAGATTCTTTTAAGAAAAAAAACACGATATTAGTAAGAAAGTCAAACAATCACTTTTATTAATCCGGTTATTAGTAATGTGATTTTTCTACTATGAACTGATTATTATCGACTGTGGTCTTTTTCAAAAAGTATCGATTACAATAATGCTTCAAGCTGGATGGTCAAAAAAAACACATATCCTTTCTTGTAATGTTGTATCTGCATCTTTGACATTCAAGTTTTAATCCAATTCTTTTAGCAATAGATACAGCTGAGAAAAAAGCTACTAGGCATAGATAATTTTATTTTGAAAATATTTCGTCGTAGATGAAAAGAGTGAGATCTATTTTGGACTTGAAACTTGATATAGCTATATAACTTCTAGTGGTGCACTCATTATGGAAAAAATTTCGATTAAAAATATATTTATTTTATCAAATAAGTTTTCCTTTTCATAGAGTTATTCATATTTGATGATGAGCGCTATTCCATACTTTTTGATCGTACTAGATCTAATTCTCAGCATGAAACCAAAGTTTATCAGTAATTTTTATACATATTGTTTTAGTAATTGTAAGGTTTGATCTGCGGTATAGAATTACTCATGATTGAAGCTAATATAAATACTAAAATAAACAATTTAGTACGGTCCATCACTTTATGAAAAAATATTGAAGACATAGTATATAAAATATTTTTTAATAATATTAACAAATTGTCATCAATTCGAAATAATTTACTATGCAAAATAGAACTATGAACGCCGAGAAATAATGAATGATTTTGTCTCGGAACACCATTTATATCTAGTGGCTTTTTCTCAGCTCTATCTATTGGAAAAAGAATTGGATTAAACACTGAATACCAAAGATGCAAAAACAGCATTACAAAAAAAGTTTACTTGTTTTTCTGACCATCCTGTATTATGAGACAAATTAGATGAATTTCATTGATTAAAATGGACTTACAATTAGGGAAAATATGCATAGAAGGAAAAATCTTCTATTCATAACTTAAGTAGAAAATCTATATCAAACACTAGAACTATAGATTGATTCTATGGTAAATCGATACGACTACTCCGAAAAACTCAATATCTCACGAACAAATCTTTGGTAGATGTACATTATATCATGGCTCAAGATTAAAAACTGGTTGACCCCTGGAGTCACAGTGAGAAGCATACTTCACACTACTAGAGAATCTAAAGAATTAGTAATTTTTTTTTTCGAATATTAATTTGAAATTTATTAAATATGAGATTCTAGATTATTAGAAAGAGAACCACTCTTTTCTCTTTTTTGCACAGTTCGTTCGATTTCCATTTTCAATACAAAATGTCGATAAAGAAACTACTAAACCAAATGAAAATACGGTAAGAAAGTTCCAACAATTAGATTCAGAATAGTCATTGAAAGATTAGAATGATCGGATTGAAATCAGTGATGAAGACGAAGAAAGTGATTCAACAGACACGCAATCAGGTCAATTAAACATTCAGCCAATAATCTTTACGAATCCGCCTTGTCACTTGACTTTAGAATTATCACGAACATTGAATATGCAAGATGATACTGATAATAATTCAACAATGTCATTGGAATCCCAAGCAGCTCAAATAGTTGATTTTATGAGAAATGCATGGAAACTACCGGTACCCGAGTTGATCATATCGGTGACAGGTGGAGCAAATGCATTTAAAATTCCATTACCCAGAATACATCAAGCATTTCAGCAAGGTCTTGTAAAAGCTGCAATGACCACGAGTATGAACGCATTATTTATTGTTTGTATCTATTTTGACATTGAAATTTGATTTTGTGAAGGTGCTTGGATTTTTACGTCTGGTACGCATGTAGGAGTGACAAAAGAAATAGGTAATGCTTTTGATAAGTGTCGCTACCGAGACTCAAAAGTAGCGTCAACAATTCCACTTATTGGTATTGTCAATTGGTACACAACAACAGGTAGATGTTATTTCACTTTTTTTTCTAAATTTGATTTTCTCATTTTATATTCCTAGATAATAAACAGTTGACACAATATTCAAATGATATCTCACAGGGTCCAAACTCTTCATCAATTTCGGTTAACTGTTTTTTTTCCAAAAGTAGAATTGATTTTTCACCTTATATTATTCGAATCTAGGATCTTGTGACAATTTTCAATAGACCAATTAAAAACCGTGTATGTCTTTATCGGTTACGAAAACCATTGGAAAAAGAAAAACCGGAAACATATCCTCTAGATCATAATCACACTCACTTTTTGATGTTACAAGATGAATTTGGCGATGATGATATCAAATGGAAGAATGAAAGCGGAGCTACATATCGTGCTAATTTGATATTAAATCTAAGAGCAAAAATTGAAGAAGAATCACGAAAAATTACAAATCAAGGGCAAAGTAAGAGATCATAATGACCAAGCACAAAACTTAAGTATATAATCAACAACGTATCGATATCAACACTATCGACTATCATGTTTAAATCGGAAGCCGAAGTATCAAACAGTCATTTGCAGAATTTTTCAGTTTTTTTGCAAAACTCATCACACATGGACCCTAAGAATAAGAAATAGTTGAACAAACTAGACGCATACAATTTTTTACAATGCTATATTTTGTAGAAAAATATTTGATCCTGATTGGTTCCAGTGCCTCTTCTTCCGCTATCATAATTACTCAGCATTCACGATAGGTATATTTTGTAGAAGGAACGTTTCTCTACAAAATTTACTACTTGAAAGAAGTATTTTAAGCTTTTAGTTCCTTTTGGTAAGAGAAATTCAAAAGATGCGACTAATGATCTCTTGCACATCTTCAATTCCAAGAATGCTCGTTATTATGCATGAGTGTCAAGCGATGGCTTTATATTGATTATTTTAAGAGATTCTCAATTCCTTTTCTTTTTACCCGCAAATCCTAGCTAGATAACTGACGACAATAGTGAGATATGAACCGAAGTTTTTGGATTCCGATTGACTCGAACGATCACAATTAATTGATTTGCTTTGGACTCTGTTGTCGAGTTTTCTCTTTTTCAAGTCAAATTTTTCTGAAATATTAAGATGAAACTATTTAAAAAGTTTACGATAATAGTCCTCTTAATATTTCAGAGAAAATAATAAAAACTCTCTATCGTCATAACCTTGGCGATAAATTATGCGCAATATGTGTCACCAATAAACTTTGACCAACACATCTGTCTTAATAAATATCCGACCTTCGCATGGAATGGGATGAAATAATGCACAAATGCTTTATGTCCTATTCCAAATGTAACCGTTCAGGATAAATTTAATGGGATTTCGTAGAATGTTCCATGTAGGAATTCTTTTCAAAAATAAACAAACTATTAATGTAATATACCATCCACCTAAGTTTAATCGATGTCCTGATATTTCATACACTGAAAAAAGGGGTCACACGAATTCTATGAAGTTTCGTGGAACTTTACTACACCCTTAGAATATCGAACAAATGTATGAAACATCACTAAAAGTTTCTTAACCTCACAGGTGTGGATGTAGATAAAAAAAGAACCTAGTCCAGCCAGGCACCAACTCGCACCCACATCCATCCTCAAGTAATGGATTTGCCATAGGTTTTGCGACGCTTCTCGTTTAAACGCACTGATATAATAAATTGCTAAATATTTTTCATATAATAGAACGTTTCTCCAGCAACAGATTTATATTGTCAATGTATAGTCCTTTGCGCATCATTCGACTTTCTTCCCGCTCAAGTTAGTTTCGAAAATACGGCATTTGTCAATTCCAATTTTACATAGTGAGAAGCAAATAAATACAAGAGACAGTATTAGACATACAAGCGTACCTCTCAATTCACCCATATTACTACAGATATATACATATACAGAGAGACAGGCCTATATATATATAGGGGATAAGATATGCGTGAAGAAATAAGGCATAGATATCAGAATTAACTCTAAAAATGATGGATTCGGCATAGAAATCGTTATTTCTAAGTCTAATCCCTAATTTCCATATCTGAACCTTATTAGTAAATCTATTCCTTAAGCGTTAAGTAAATGTATAGGAGTTATACATACAAATAAGGGATTAGATATAGCAATGAAGATTAGATATAGTTATTATTAGATAGAGATATATATTAAAAGATATGCATGAGCTAAATGGTTTTAAATTAAGAAACTTAAATAGGGTTTTGAATTCGTTTCAATTCTCGAAATTCTATTTTAGGTTCTATATGGCACCTGTTTCTCAGTGTACTTCCATTGTTCCATACGATGAAATTATAGCGAAAACTATTTGATTTAATTCCACAAGGATCTCTGTAGATACTTCCATTTATTTTGAATACTCAACAAATACTCTTTATATTTTTGCATGTAAAAAGATTTCAGAATGTCTTAACTAAATCTATATTAAGCCAGTCACTTGGTATTTGTGTTAAGCAGTCAACTCCATTGAAATATCGGATATTATTGGGAATCATTTGTGATGACTTTTTGAGAGAAACAAAACATTTTGACATACCAAAATAATAATAATTTGGCGACATGCCAAACTAATAATCAGTACTTCGTTTTTGACTTGATATCCGATAATATCGGCATTATAAGATACTTAATATTACACGTAATATGTTGTTTTTTATTTGTTTTTTCTTTAGCCTACTTGATACCCATGGTACAAATCCTCGTTGAAGGTGGTGTTACAGCTATTTTAACTGTCTGCGAATCAGTTGTACGCCAAACACCTGTCATTGTTATGGCTGTAAGAAAATATTGTTGCATAAGAAATATCTCTTTATGTATTATCTTCGTTAGATTTCATCATGGACAGTTAGGGGTAGGCTAAAATGATGTCGCATTCAATTAAAGATCATCTCTTCAAAATTAAATAAAATATGGACAGATAATATTCAACGAAACACTCAATGGAGTAATTTTCCTATGTAAAACATAGCTTTGTCCTTTTCATTTCTGCATACTTGAAGAATAGACAAATTCAAGCAGTCATTGCAGAGTTCTTATAAGGCTCTATTGTTTATATCCCAACGAAAACTTGTCAATAATAATATATCACGTTTTGAACGATTTGATCGGAAAGTCAATTTTGAAACTGCTTTTGGAACTTTATATCGAGGATAAGTGCACAAGAAATCATACGTACTTCTAGAAATTCAAATAACTTCTCATACTCTATTAAAAGAAAGAGTCCAATTCAACATTTGAACTTTTTCGTATTAAACATCAAAAGATTGATGTTTGAAAGGAAATATTTGCTTGAAAATGGCTTTGTTTTACATTAGCAATAGGAGAACATGTAATTAAATCTACGGGTTTCTTCTGAAGCGTTTCTGTGTCAAAGTTTCATACAACCATATTAACGAATATCCAGGTTAAAAACTACGACAAATGGTTGATGTTTTTGAATAATGTTTGAGAGAAATGTGATAGAGATATGTGGTTTTAACCACAGGAAAATGAATACGTCAGGTTACTAGCATGTTTCTAACAAAAGTTATTCAAAGAACGAATATTCGTCTTTTTTTAAAACACTATTAATTACAACAACAAAAAAGAAATTCTTACAAATTTAGTCATGTTGATAGTTCGAAATGAATAATTCAGTGAAGAACACAGTAATATCGATAGTGAGTACAGAGGAGAGAGTAAATCAAGATAATCGTAAGAAGAAAAACTGATTAATGTCGTAGTACATCTTGTCAATCACTGTCAGTTTAGAGAAATGATCATTTACTTATTGTAGAAAAAGAGATTATTTCGTTTCAGGTTAAAAATATCCAAAATAATAAAATCTTGGTCTGCACTTGCTTCTTATAGTATTATATATCGAAATTTTCTCATATTAACTTTGAAAGGAAGAGTTTCACGTGTTTCGATTAGCAGGTGAACAAATATTCTTTTAAAACTAAGTCTAATGTTCTATGATGAAATCCAATCAAGACATGCATTGAATATAGAAAGGAATGTTCTTTATACTACACTCATTATTAACAACTACGACCTAGTTTTCGCATTTCAGGGTACTGGTCGAGCAGCAGATTTGATTGCCTATGAATACAAATCTTTGTACGGAGAAGATAGAATACGATCGATTGAGAAATACACATGGGCAACACAAACCCTACACTTTACGAATTAGTACGTAACAATTTATTTTTCTTCTCCTAGTTAAAATCTACGATTTTTTTTTCTCTAGTAAAAAGAAAGAACAATTTGGATTACGATCAGAAGAATCAATTGTAACAGAAGATAATCGTGAAAAATTCATTCAAATGATGACATCTAAAAATGGATATTTTCTCCTAAATGTATTGAACTTTCGTGCTAACGAAAGAGAATCGGAACTGGAGGATGCTATATTGGAAGCACAAATGAATGGTAAGCAGATATTTATAGTAATTGATTTTTGTGTATAGTTTTTCTATGTACAATACATAGCGACACATCTATCTGACAATGGACTATCACGGAAAGTAAAAAAGTTAAAGCTTGCAATAGTTTGGAATAAATATAATTTGGTAGCAAAAGATATTTTCAATAAACAGATTGTTTCGGACTGGTCATACTTAGAACTAGATAATGCTCTAAGAGACGCATTGCTTCAAAACTCTGTTAGTTTTATTGAAATGCTTATTGAACATGGTGCATCATTTGAGCGGTTGCAACGATTGATTAATATCAGAAATTTATATAAAAATATGGTAAGAGAATTTCACTTTCTTGATTCAATAATGTATATATTTGTTCATTTTTCTTTCTCTTATATAAATGATAGGATAATAAAGATCGACTTCCAATTCTTCCTAAAGTTCTAAAACAAATCAATTACAGCTCACAATACTTGAACAAAAGTGATGTTGTGCAAAGGAACAATTCCATAGAAGTGGAAACTGAGGTCGACACGACATCAAGATGTTCGTGCTGTTTTTGTTGTAGAAAAAAACGAAAAATTCTCAAGAGTTCGACACGTGAAATTTCTTGCAATTACTGTATCAATGTAACAGGCACCACACTCGATCTTGTGGCTTATTATAGAAACAGATTGCATGAAAATAGTAAAAGAGAAAATTTTGATATTGAATTAGTAAGTGTATTTATATGAAAATTTCTAGACTAAATATTTCTTCTATTTTTTGTTATTCTTTAGAACAATCGTTATATTCTTCGTCGTAAGTTCTGAATTTTATTTATTTGTTGATATTTTATTTTTTGATCTATACAGTCGATACCTACGGTTTTATTGATGGTTTATTCAAAGATGATTCATATTTAGATGGAATGTTGATATTTACTCGAAATGATGTTATTCGAAATAGTGGTAATATAACTGAACTATCTATTCATTTTTCACAATTACCATTGTATAACATCGACAACAATGATACTCCTGAAATTTTTCTCTATATTATATTGACAACAGAAAAACCAGATGAATTTATTATTATTAATCGATATCAATTATCGAACAAGGAAATTGAATCAAGAAGATCTACTGGAAATATTCAAACATTTATGATAAATGAACCTGTTCTTTATCTAGAAACCGGTAATTATTTAGGTGTTGGATTTGGTTCAAAGGCTGGTCGACCGTTTCGTGTAAAAGGAAGCGATTCATATTATATTGATTTGAAGACGGCGAATGCTACCTTTGGCACATATAAGCCAGTTTTTTTCATCAAACAAGCAATTTATGGTGTTACATTTAGTTTTAAAATGAGTCCTGTACCATGTTTGTAAACATTAGGATGGTTAAAATTTGAGAAAGAATTTTTTGAAATTTTCTATTTTAGCCTTTATACGTGAACTATTTCTTTGGTCAATAGCAGCTAGTCATTCAAATTTAGCAACTTGTCTATGTTCTCATTCAATAGTAAGCTAAGATGATCCGACAATTTTTTAATTATTACTGTTCTAGAATCCTGTTGTGGCTGCACTATTAGCTAGCAAAATCTATCGAGATAGTGCTAACATTGAGAATAAATCAGAAAGAAAGAAGGAGTTTCTACGAAAAGAAAGGTAAAATTCAAATATGTATACTGTAAATATTTGAGGATATCCTTCTAGAGAATTTGATATTCATGCTGCGCGAGTAATTGAAAGATGTTTTGAAATTGATGAAGATTTTGCCGTTGGAGTATTAAAAACAAAATCGTCACTTTATTTTAATTACAATCCAATGCAACTTGCTGAAGAAAATCATAGTTACACATTTTTGGGAACGAAATGTGTTCAGAAGTATTTAGATAAAAAATGGTTTGGCAAAATTAATCATGGTGGATATTCAGTGTATATCATTTCTTTTCTTGTACGTGACATAGTAATGTTCTTAATGAGAAATCAACTTTTAACAATATATTTTGCTTATTTAGATATTTATTCTTAGTATTTTCCCAATTCTGATTCCGGTTGCCTCATATTTTTCTTCAGTATCTTCAATATTAGCATTGCACAAGGATTCACATGAGTATGTATAATAATCTACGAGATGAATTATTGTTTGTAGTTTGAACGCTATTTGAATTTAATAATATTGATATAACATTTCACAATAGTAAATCTTGCAAAAAGCATTATTAAAAGATACATGCTAAACAGTAGAAGACGACAGAATGAATGTAGTTTTTGCAAGATAAAAAATAGAGAATATAGAAATTTCATATTCTTGCTCGCTTTGTTTCTTGATACACAATAGTTCATCCTATTGCTTTCAAAGAAGAAAAACAGGATTTTTTTCAGCATTTAAAAAAGTCTATTTAAAGGCACTTTGTTCAATTCTAACGCTTATTAGTTGCGCTAGTCGAATTACCAGATGTGGGAGGTGAATTGTTGTTATATATATTATCCAATTCAAAATCAGATACAAGACAATCAAAATTAAATAGTGAACGTAAACAACTATTGGCTTCAGATTTTCATAAGATTTAAAGAGAACAGATGCTCCTTGTTTTTTTCTGAATTCCTATTATAAATGAAAGGATTGAATAGAGAAAATTACTACTTGAGATTTGCCGAATAAAAAATTCTATCCCAGTGGATTGAGCATTCTACTAAAAAGTCAGCGATTGATTGAGGATGTGGGTGTAGGTGTGAGTGATGAAAAGATCAAAAACCGCATCTACATCGACACTCTTGTGACTTCAGCTATCTTGGTTCTAGAACTTTCTCATAGAAAGTCCTGTATACATTTTGATGCTATCAATTTTCTTGACTGTTACTTGTTTACTTATGTAGTTGATCAAAATGCTGGTAAAATTAGAGGTTTGATCCGAACTTAAAATCATCTAAAACACATAGTATTGTGATTTTTCATTTCAGATTAAGGCTTGAGAGAAAAACGGTATACTTGTGCAATTTTGTAGAGCGAAGTGAATACTATCAATTGCTATATGGCTCAATCTGAACAGTAATCAAATATAGAAGAAAAAGATCGAAAAACAATGGTGACTCAAAATAATCAACTATAGATAATCAAAGACAAGGTTTTAGACCATAATATTTTGGATTTGAATATGTTATAAGATTGGCTATCTCCGATAGGAATCGAAGTCAAAGTCTATTTCTCCCATGTTTTCGCGTTCTTTCAGTTTTTCATTCAGTGTCTCTTCAGTTCACAGTTTCGTATATTATATTTTGAAACCAGTAAAACAACGTAAAAAAAAGTAAGGGTCGAACGAAATAATGAAACACTACAATCCTACAGATTAATAGACCACAAACTATTCTTGAATAAAAAAAAACAGTACATCTCACGAGATGCTTTTTTCTGCTTTATTCCACACTAGCACCAAACTTTCAGCGCAATCTTTACACAATTATACTATGAAACACGATAGAATTGCTTTACTCTTAAATGAGACCTTGTGCCATGCTGAACACAATCTAATCACTCAGCCGGAAGATGAGCATGTCGATATATCTATTACAGTATGTGATGGAGACGAAAAAGTTGTATCGTAAAGAAAAAGCAGCCTGTTTTGAACTTCGGAGTTTCAGATCTCATCAAGATAGAAAAGTCATTTAAAACAAAAAGATCAAGTTCAAAGTGTCTTAAAGTTCGAAGTCTATTTTTCTCTTTACTTTTGTGTTAGATCTCTCGCAGTCTATGACAAACATTGAAAAGTCGCGATTTTTCTGTCACCGTCTATGGAGTAGGCTGAGGATTCACTTTTGTTGTTACATGCTTCAGCACAAATAATTAATTGTATTTCATAAAATATACAAGATTATCTCACAGAATTTTAGATGTATTGTTAAACTACGAATTGTCTTAATATGGAACATTAGATGAAAAATTTTTCCTTTTGTAAATAGATATTAGAATATGAACTTCGTGCACAGATTATCTGGTTTATTTAAGAATAGAAAATAATGTGACTACTTCTTCTTTGATAAGAAAAGTTAACAATATCAAATCTAGAAACTTCTATGCCTTGAGAAAATTGTCATAAATCGTGTCCGGAATGAATCAGTATCAAAATTACCATAATTAAGTAGTCGGTGATCGATGAAACTAATTCATTTTTTTTTTGAATAACATTATTTCGAGCGTATAGTGAATTTGGTTCCTTCTTAATTTCTTTTACTTCGACAATGGGAGAAATTTTTCATTTTAACGACATATTCTGCATTCCTATTTTATAGGTCTCCAACTGCAAATGAATCGTGTTTTCGGCGGTTTTATCGCAAACGTTCAATTTTTCGATTTTATCATAAACGTGCAGTTATTCGATTTTATTATAACATTGTATGAATAGATTTATACATTAATTCTAATCAATTTTCTGATTGTTTTTAGCTATTCTATGCGTTATTTATGGGTCTATTCAGCTATGTTCTACTTTTTAAGTACTTCCCTTTCAATAAGAAATTACCAGTTCAAGAGACTGTTATGCACATTTGTATGGGCATTATAACTTTGGAAGAACTTATCGAAGTAACTATTTATTTCACATATATTACCATGTTTTAAATATGATTGTCTTTAATAGTTCATTCAATATTGTCGAGAAAAACTTAAATATCATCCGTACTGCAATGTTTTCATAAAATATTTTGCGGATGACCAATGGAACATTCTTGACCTTGTGGGAATTTTATTTTATATTGCCGGTTTTTCTACACGTTTCATCGTAGAAGAAAATTTTTTTATTGTCTCAAAGTAAATTTAATTAGATACAAAAAATCTTTATTCATTTTTATTTTCAGAATTTCAATGTGTATTTCACATTTTATTTGGTACATTCGAATTCTACATTTTTTTGCAGTGTTTGAGAGACTTGGTACTAAGTTGCTGATGATATTCAAAACAGTATGAACTTTTTTTCTTGATTCATGCAAGTGATGGAAATATTTAAAATCTTGATTTAGATGATAGATTTGTTCGTCTTCATCTTTTTGATATTTATATTTCTAATTAGTTATTCTATTACATCTTATTCATTGATTACAACAAAGCGACAAGTTATATGGAATGAAATAATGAGTGATAATTCATCGAATTCATTCAAAATTGACCAAGATGGTATAGGCTTTGGGAATTGGACGGCTATACGCAATATTATCGACTGGGGTATTTGGAAAATATATGGACAAGTCGATCTTTTAGATTATTCACAAGTTGACGACAATAAATTGAATAGGATAATAAACTCAATGACTTTTTTTTCAAATATAATATTTATTTTTTCATTTTAGTTGATAATGATGCCTATGGTACAGTAGCATTCATATTGACCATTATCTTTGTTTGCATTGCTAATGTTCTTCTGCTCAATGTTCTCATTGCTGTCTTCAAGTAAGATTTTTATGTGTTAGAAATTCAAAATATGTGACAATTTTTCGAAAGAGTTTATTCAAAATTGTTATTAGTTCATGAAAAATTTTTCTAATCGAACAACTTGCAAGCAAGATGTTGCTTACAAGATGTTCGACTAGGGTGCTGAATTGAATAGGCAAAATATTAATTTCATATTTCAATAGTTAGTTAACCAGTGAAAATGTTTTAAAATAGTGACATTTTGAGATTAGAGTTTTAAATATAAGCTAATAGTTGCTTATGTATTATGGTTTTCGGATTCTACTGTTCGTTTGAAAATAAAATACTTATCACTGTTTTACGAATAACAGAAGGACATAGCTAGCGTGCGATCTGATAATTGCACCAAATGAAAGATAGTCTGTTTTCTTTTATATAAGCTATAGCATTTTGCAACATAATTATAAGTGAGAATAGGAAATAGTATACCAAACATCTCTATTGAGAACCCTGATTGCGCTTTATCTGCGGTTTATTGTTGTATATTTCTTGATCGATTCATTGGCTGACCACCAGAGTATCACGTTGGTGAATAATATGAATGTCAAAGGAATGTAGAATCATGCGAAGTACTTATTAAAAATTAACTTATCTTTTTTTCTAAGAGATGACTCGATTTATTGTCATACCTGAAATTTAGATGCTAGTACGTCATGAATTGGATTTGTTTTTTCGTTGTCATTTTGACGTGTACAATTGATCAAAATTTTATGGTCATTCGCGATCATTTGTCATAAAAAACTTAAAAAGATAAGAATAATTATCACAAGAATGTGGCATCAGATTACACAGTTTACTAGTGGAAATAAGAGTCTCAAATATGTTTTCTCTACATTTTGAAAGGAATTCTGATAAATGTAAAGATTAACACAGTAAAGTGAGTTCCAGAAAACCTCCATCTAGCTGAAAACACTTAGTCTGATAAAGAATTTACGTACTTGGACAGATTCATCAGATCATATCAGATTTTTCAATTTGTTGTAGTGTAGTATTGCTGTGATATAGTGCTGGCAATCCTACCAAATCTGAGGAAAACTCAGTTTAAAAAGCGATTCTGCGACATC